CAAGTTCATATATTTTTTAAAAAAGAAATAAGTATGATTTTAGAGAGATAAAAAAAACAAGCTTACTTTATATTATAAATACTTTTTCATATAATTAATTTCAGTAACGTTTACATCTTATATATTATAGATTTCACTTTTCTCCTCTATCTTTGATACCGTGCATTTGCCAAATCCAGTATTTTGACAATTTTTTAAAATCAAAATTTGAGCTGTGATTGGTATTTTACGGTATTTCTAACTTAATATTTACATGCTTTTCTGAGTATGGAAAGGTAAAAAAAATACCTGTTTTTAATCTTCAAAATACCCTAGGTATGTCGACCAATGCAATTTTCTAGCAGTGATTTGTATAGTTCGCAAATAAAAAATTGAACAACCTGAATAACTTTTGATATTATAATCGGATGATATAATAATTTTCACGCATTAAGACTCAGTCTTAATGGCTAGAGGGCATGGCTGTAAATATGATAATTAATTAGTGCAGACTATATTTTAGGTTACAAAATCAGTTATAAAAATGTACTTCCACTGAATCATCCTACCTTTTTTTCGACAGATTCGAATTCTTGACCTTCCAAATATGGGAGGCAGCTGTCAACTAGAACGGAAAATATTGTCCCAAGAAAATTTGGACCCCTGAGTGCCAATTTTAATTTTTGCGTATTATACCATCTTAAGATCTTTTTAAGCGAATAGAAATTTTTCAGCCCAGAGTCATGAAATTAGTTTATTCAAAGATGATTTCTTTTAAAACTTTTTTTTATAATTATTTGTTACTTTTTTAATATTTTATTTAATGATGGTCAAGATTTTTTTCCCCAGAATTATAATATTCATTTATTCAATGGTGATTCCTAGCAAAAAATAATTTTTAATAATTTTATGTTTAATGTTTGAGTTGATAATGGCCGAAAAATTTTTAAATTGCAAGGTATATAATTTTTACGTCATTTTAAACAATGTATTTTTATATGAAAAGATATAAAACTTGAACGCAATTGGTCAAATAGTTTTCGAAGAACTAAGCTTTAAAAAAATTATTTTTTTTTAAAAATTTGATAACTCAGAAACTATTTGATCGATTGCCGTCAAATCGTTTTTGTATTGCCATTTAAAATTAAATTCTTTAAATTAAAAATATGTGTATCTAAAATGTAAAAATTTTCGCGACTTTATGTTAAGAGAAGTTTAAAAAAATAATAAATAATGAGTAGAATTTTAATTTTCATGCATTATTTGTCGATCCGAATTTCATACTTGTGTGTTAAATATTTCTATTCGATTTAAAAGCTCTCGAGATACGGCGAAATACACAAAGAATAAAATCAAAATTAATGTGTCCCAACTTTCGACCGTTCTTCTGACCGACCAAACTAGTGCAGAGATGCCAACTTGCTCCGGACAGCAAATATATATTTTAAAGTGGTAGTTTATCAATTGTGATTTTTGATTTAATAACTTCAATTTAGTAGATTTTTATCCACCACTATTTCCAAACAATTCGTAGGTTTACATAATTCACCACTTTATCGACATATGTCACGCTTAACATATGAAAAAGCAAGCAATAATAGTCAAATATTTGCAAAATTTACTTAGTAGTTATAAAATTATTTTGGCGTGTCCGGAGCAGTTGGCAGCTCTGCTAGTGGGACTATATTTCCCAGATTGCGGCGGCTACCGTTTATTCAAATAAAGAATCCAAATCCATCGAAAGAGAGATATGTTTATTCAGAGAAAGTATACGTTTCTTTTTTGTCTAATTTTGTAGCTTAGAATACTGTTTGCAGTAATTAAAGTCAGGCTCTCGAATCATTTAGGTTGAGTCCTAGAAAGTAAAGATCCGATCATTAGAGCAAAAGTTATTCAGAGTGTTTCACTTTTATTTCGTGCACTGTAGATTTAAAAATATTATCCTAAGAATTTAAGTAGAAAATGATACAGCTCATTTTAAATAGACACTTGTAGAGATAAAATAAACATTTGTTTCTTCAAAACGTTTTTCGTGTTTGCGTACGTGATAATTTTCTCATTTGTGCTGATTAGACTAAATATTTAACAACATGTAAGTAACTAAATTTGTATTTTCGTTGCACGCAGGACTTGTCTTGATTACGCTTTTAGTTTTTAATCAATTGGATACAAACTCATGAAAATTTTAAGTTCATCAAGAAAGAAATACAGTAGTAATTCTTTGTAAGATGATTCATTACTTTCATTTAAGACTACGAATGACTCCACGATTATAACAGAAAACTTAGATTTGATTTATTTTATTAATAAATTATAATATACCATTACTTTTAAAGGATAATGGAAGTTTTATTAATGTTACAGCTAAAGCTCAATATTAACACTACCTTGCTTATTTCCTTGCTTATCTGTAGATTAACTCAGGTGATCCGTTGAAGTGCGGAAAAAAGTGTTTTTCGCAATTAATTTGGGTAATATGCTCATTAACAGTCACCACATCGTTAAAGTTAAAAAGTTTGTTTCTTTCATTCTATCAACAAATTAGCTGATTGTTTGATTTTACTTATTGACTTTATTTCTCAGATATTGAAAAATGAATAAACAATGTTATGTTGTTTTCTTTAATTGTAATAATATTTTGAACCGTTTGATTTTTTGTATTATATATTTTTAAGTGATTGATGATCGGTTCTATCAACTAATGTGTTGATTGTTTGGCGGTAGTAACTCGATTCTTTGGTTACCAAATAATGAATAGTTAACATTACATTAATTTAAGCGGTAAGGAACAATGGTGTTGTTTCAGCAAAGATTTTATATTTACTTTAATGAGAGCCTAGATGGTAATATACTCATTATCTAAGTAGTTCACCGATTACTTTAGTCGTTTGAGAAATGGAACATTTTTGGCACAAATTAATCTAGTTAATCTACACATTAACTCGATAACAATGGGAAAGAATTTTTTGTTTTGTTTTGATTTCATCCGATATCAAATCTGCAGTCGGTTTCTTTTCCTAGAAGGTACAGTTTTTTCATGACGTTTTTAGTCTTTCATTTTTTCCGAAATGTAGAAATTTAAAACCGTTATATATCGCACGGAGTCGCATAAATGTTGCGACAGACTACCAGGAGGGCACATCCTCAGGATTATAATTGCACATAAACCTATGCCCGGAAATATCGTCATAATTTCGAAAAAGCACAAACAACAAATGAATGGCAATTGATTCCAACGTAAGCGTTACACACGTTAAATACATAGAAACATTTAAGAAGCAAGATGACAGTTTGAAATCGTTTCAAAATTTTAAGTCACATTTCTGAAAAGCACAATTTTATTTGTACTGGACATTTAAGTTGTCTTAATACGCATTATTCTGTTTTGGAATTTTTAATTATTGTTCCTACTTTCTGGTTTTAATAATGGTTTCTATTTTGACAATAACTATGTTAAAATTTTTAAAAATGTATAACTGTATGTTAAAGTTTGTACCATGACTTTTTAAACTTAGAACGAGGCTTATAATAAAATTGGAATCAAATTAAAAAGGTTTACATGTATTATAATTCAAATTTCTATTTTTAAATGCCATGGGAAAAACTTTACGAATCATACAAAAAAAAATATAAGTTGGTTTGTTTAACGATTCTTACTATACAAAAGGTTACCAAAATGCACTGATAAAGCAATAAAACAATCAAATGTATTAAATTTGCTATTATCAGGAAGAATTGGATTCAATTGAATACAAAGTTCTACATGGAAGGTTAAACTTGTCGCAAAGAATGGCGGCATTATTTACAAATATCAGCAAAATACAGAATTATTATAAAACCATCATTTAGCATATATTTTCAATTAAATGAATAATCGAAAGATACTGAAGTGGAAACAACTAAAGTGGAAAGATTTGAAACAGAAAACATAAAGTTGCCAGCTAAAATGGAAATTGTATTATCCTTTTTTCGCTAACAACCTTACGTTTTCTTTTTTAAATCTCTTTTGTTTTATTCATTCACATCTTGTGAATCTTGAGAATGGGCGCCCATATTTGAGTGACTGAAATATTTATTACCATCATTATATATTTTGAAGCAAATGAAGTTTTTATATTATAAAGTAAATCTATTTTCATTTCTTGAAATATGTTATATTTTAAATAAAAGTTACCGATCTTTATATTTCAGTCGAAATATACTTCACTTTGGTTATACGTTAACTTTCTTGGTCTATTATATTCGTTTTAACTATATTAACTATCACGAATTATTAAATAATTTGCACATAAGAATAGACTATTATACTACTTATATTTTTAAATTCAATTTACATTAAATTTATATTTATTACTGTTTAATTATTTATTTGTATGTTGAAAAACTACTTAAAGTTATACTATGGGATAATTTTTTGCACATCTACAAATAATTTCGTTAGGTTAGAAAAAATTAGTTCTCGTAGTAACCAAAAGCTAAAAAGATAATTTAAAAAACAAGTTAGTGGATGATGGTAAGAGAGCAAAAAAGAAGAAAGAAAAAAGAAAGAAAATAGGTTTAAATCTTATCCCAATAAAATAAAATAAAACGTATTGATTACTTTTAGTTGAATTATTTTTAATTTTGATTCATAAGTATTTAAGAAACAGAATTAGTGCAAAGAAGTCGCGAGGAAAAATGAGCGGTTACAGGAAGGGGCGAAATCTTTTAGTATATATGACAGCTTAATATGTATTTAGTGTAAATAACCATTTAGTACTCAAAATATATTCTAATAATGTAAATATAGGATTTTTTAAGCGATAGTTTCCCTCTTTCATTTATTAAAATTTTAAATTTATTTCTTTTAAAATCATTTTATTTTTAATTTTACATTTAATTTTCATCGTAATCTATTTTCTAACAAGTAAATCATTATATGTAAAAACCATCTATAACTATTAATTTTACAATTAATATTATCGTGATAAATTATATGTCATTTTATTTTTAGGAACAGAAGATCAAAAATGACCACTTACTGCAAGAAGATGACCGACGACGTAAGAGAATCCAATAGAGAGAGCTCTGAATCCCATGTCAGTCCTATGGGGGTCCATGTTAGAAAGCACCGTGATGACCACTACGACGGAGGCCAGAAATTCGATTCCGAATGCTTCGGATGCTGCTACTCCAACAGCTGGTTCAGTGGCACCCAGTCCGGCATTCGGTCTTTGTCCTTGTGGAGTCAGGCCGTACAATATTCCGGCACCCGCCAGCCCACCAAGACACTGTGCGGCAACATACGCGGCACTTCGTGTTAGACTGATGTGCCTGGTGACCAGCAAGGCTATGGTTACTGCCGGATTCATGTGTCCACCACTTACTTGGCCAACACACTGCACCAGAGTAGTCACTGCTAGTCCGAAAGCGAGTGCTACGCGTAGCTCCACCGCGGCGGCTGTTATTTGGTCAGTTGGAGGAGCTTTCCATCTCAGACACGAACCACAGCCCAGGACGGTCAGGAGAAGTGTGGCCAAAAACTCAGTTCTGACCGCCTTCCAGAAATGTTGGTTGCATAATTCTTCTTTGAATGTAAAATCTTGTGGCAAAGATTCCATGTAACGCTTCATGTTTTCTACGGGAGAGTAACCGTTGGTGGGTCCGGGTGGGCCATTCAGTTTATTGGCCGGATTGCCAGATCCCGACTCCCCGATGGAATAGAGCTCGTTCGGACTGGCCATTGCGGCTGGCCGGTCGACCAACCCCACTTAGCGAGATTGAATCGTCCGGCAACGGAGTCTGCTCCTTATCGTCACCCAGCGCCTTTTGAAAGTGCCGGATCTTTCGCTCCCGGATCTTCCCCAGCTGATGCCCTGTCGGAAATTCCCTATTTTTCCCTTTTTCGCTCTGGTACGTAAACATCGGGGGAATTTGTTTGATGTGTGTTTGATGTTACGCATGGGCGGCTTTGGAGAGACTGTGGGGGGAGGGGGGCTAGTATTGAGAAAATGTGTTTTTCTGTGAGAAATGTGAGAAAATGTTCAAATAACATATTTATCGAATGTCTGAGAACAGACCCTAAAAAGATGTTAGAATTTGTTTGGCTAGATATTTCTTATGACTCATTTTCAGATTATTTTTTAAAAATATTTTTACAATTTAATTCGGTCAGAATTAAAAACTTTGTAAAATATTTATTTTTGATTTTAATGAATATAAAACTTTGGGGGAAAAATAGAAAGAAAGTGAGATAAAAATCTAAATTTGTGTTGAACCATATAATCTTTTAAATATGGTACAAATTTAGGAGCTTTGAAATTGACAGCTCGAATCTGTTTTCCACATTGAATTACATTATTCATAATACTAAGAAATTCGTGACCGTGTGTTTTTCTTTTAAGTAAAGAATTGATTGTACTAGAGTACTGAAATATGGAAAGCCCAGGTATCCCCAAAAAAGTAAGAAGTGGTAAAAACTTAATTCATTTTTATTTATTTAATGTATTCAATAATTCAATCGTAACTACCATCATGAGTTATATTGCAAATTATATATATTTAGAGCAAAACTATTGCACGGATTCGCTTACTGTAGTATACTGAACGAAATATGCTAGGAAAACTTACGAATTTTAATCTCTTTTATTAGATTTTTGCTTTTCTCAATTACCATTTTTAGAGTTTTAGTTATACGTGAGACATCTGACAGCGGTTAAGGGGACAGTTTTAGTCAACAAGTTTTTCTTAAAGGTCGAACATTAAGCATCATTGCCAATCAAAGAGCAGATAACTTTGTTTTCTCAATTATTTACAGAATAACATTAGTGATAGTTTTATTTTTAGTTTTTAGCTCTATCAGAGTTTTTCATAAAAAGAATGAGTTACCTTAGGGATTTATTGTCAGGCAAGCTCAAGAAATCAGTTGGATTGGCATGTGAGGGCCATGTCTTCCATTTAGTGTTTTGAAAGCTACTGTGTTTATTAATGTGCTTATAGTTACTATTTTGAAACATGTTTCTATATACTTAAATATTCCCTTGCTATTAGGCTAACCGTGGGAGGTTCTCGTGGTTTTCCTTTCCATTTTAACGTAAGCACTGGTTAGTTCCATCCAGAAGTCCTCCACGAAGGTAAATTTCACCCAATACTTGATCGAGGAATTCCTTGTCTTCTGGATTAGGTTCAAAATTACATGGCTACGGAGTTCAAAGACGGTTATGAAGTAAAATATATACCTAAATTATGCAAAATCAATGGTAAGTGAAAAATATTAAATTAGGCATCATAAAGGAAAAGTAATAGAAAAAGTAGTTTGATTTCAGTAAAGTTTGACTATTTTGAGCTGGAAGCGTTAGTTATTGATGCCTACCTGAGTGCTACGTCTACGTGATACTGCGCATAGTTAATCTTTATTTTGATAAGCGTTTTACTTTAATTAATAGCTCAAAGTCACATTGAAAAGCAAAAAAAAAAAAAAAAAAAAAAAAAAAAAAAANAAAAAAAAAAAAAAAAAGAAAAAAAATAGTTACAAGAAAATTAGGAGTCATTTAACATTTTAGCTCAAGTCTGTATATACCCTTTAGTTTTGTGCATCACTGGATAGCGTAGATTAATGTCAATTTATTGAGTACTTAATTTTTTTATACACCGACTAAGGAACAGGAAGCAGATAGGTTTTTGAAATTAGTATCTTAATTTTGTTAAAATTAGACTAATTCTTGCGGTTATGGTAAGTATGATTGGTAATAGAATAATATTGTGCAGTTATAATTGCTTCTTAAAAGAGTGCATTTGAAATATTTAAAGAAATGCATTTTCTCAAAAATTTTAAAGTGGAAATATTTTTTTTTTATTTATTACTTTTTTTCTTTCTTTTCACAAATAATATCAGATATAGTTTCAATACTTTTTAAGTTTAAATAGATTATATCCACTGGAACCTAATCACAAAATAGTTTTGTATCATTTGAATATTATGTACTTGATAATTTTCGCAATTTCCAGTCCAATCAATTAGCTATTTAAAATTTTTTTTCAAGTTTTTTTTTATAAAAATGTTCATATCTCCATACATATTTAAGCCAGATTTACGAAATTTTATGCAGTCATTGCTAATATCAACCTAAGTTACAGTATCAGTTACAAGTTGCTTGACTTTTGGGATCATGTGTTCAAAAATACTTCTTTACTTTCGTAATTTAAAGTCGGTCCCTAATACCCCTGGAAGCTTTGAACTTTATTGCCAAGTAAGAAAAATCGCATGAATCAAACACTTCTAATATTACAGAATAGACCTCTAACTATTTCTTGAGAAATTGACAAGAATATCAAAAACTGAAAATGTCTCTTCCTTAAATGTAGGGTAGAGTATCTGCTTTAATTTAATGGTGTCCAAATTATTGTTGAACAACTTTATTTTATTGAAAATGAAACTGCAAAGAGTGTTTTATAGATTGGCCAATAATTACTTTAAACATTAAGGAAAAATTTCTCTTGAAGCGGGAGAAGTTGAAAATTACGTAATTCTTAAGCTTTATTAACTGTTGTAAAGATGTTTAAGATAATGAAGTCAAGAGTGCATTTTTAGACTAAAATCAGTTCCATTTCTATTTTACCTAATTTTTTTATATGTAACAATAGAAAAAATATTAAATTTTAAGACATATCTACATTAGGTTTGAGTGGGCAAAAACAAATTTTAAAAAAAAAGATTATTAAAATAATTATTCATGCAAATCAATTTATATATTATTCAAAATACAGATAACCATTCAGATTTCAATTAAAAAATACTAGATCTTTTGAAAATTAATGATTATAAAGTTCTTTGGCAAAAATTTGAAAAAATTGTTCATATTAGTGCCCTCAACTCAATAAGAAAAATGTTTACCCAAAAATGGTCCGACAAAATTTCAACCTGTTATGAATGTTTCGAAGTTTCGAGATTGTCAAGACTATTTCAGTCTGTCTATTTTATGAAAATGTTGCGATTTTGATTTCTTAGTATATTTGTTTGTCAGGATTTTGATTTGTCAAATTTTATCTGTGTCGATATTTTGAAAAAAAAAGGCGTCAACGATATTTGTACAAGCGCAATTTCGTGTCTGAAAGTTCTAACTTCCGATAAGGCCTTTAAAAAATTTCCATCGATAATGAGGATGTCACGAATATGAATTTATGAACACATTTTCTGTGCTTAGCATCAATTTAAAAAATTCAACTTATTAAGGAAGATTTTTTAGGCATTTACAACGTGTTTTGCATCAAATGGTAAAACAATGAAATACTTGTTAAATAAAGTGAAACAGTAATGAATGGATACAAAAATAGACATAATCAATAGTTTCGGTTCTATAGACAGGAACCTTCCTCAGTGTCTAAAAACAAAATGACATTAGAATAGTAACAAGACAAACACGTTGCCATAACAAAAGGAGTGGTTTCACCAATAAGAGAAGAGGAAAAAGCGTGAGTGAGATAATAAAAGAAGAGATAAGAAACAGCTGTGAAGAGGCTGAATAGAAACCCCAGGGTGCAATATGTTGTATTTAAATAAGTATAGATTTCCAAACATTGGAAGATCATTAGCTAATCGTTAGATGCTTTCGAAATGCAATGATTCCCATTTAATGCGGAATGATTCTCAGAAGTCAAAGTCGGTTGATGAAGAGCTGTGCAGAATAATTTAAGCAAATAAAAATTTCAACCTCTGGTGAGAATTTCAGCTATATAGGGTGATAAAAGATCACTTAATATCATTAAACATATCTTTCATGTTACGTCAAAGTTTGAAGTTCAGTTTTTAAGAAGCTTGCCTTAAAATGTGTTGACTTAAATTTGAATCTTAGCAATGACTGGTCAATAAGAATTCTGCCCCTGGCTACAGTGCTGTCGTTAATTATTTGCAATGATAGACAGATGATGGGTTAAAACACCCTTGTCATTGGGTAAGGTTTCTGTAGTTTTCCTCCTGATGTAATACAAATACAGATTTGTTCTATAAAAAGTTCTCCACGAAGACTAGTTTTCTACAATGGTTGATCCAGGAGCTTTCTTGCCTTCTGGATTGTGTTTATAATCGCTAGACTTAGTTGAGCATTGATAGCCGTAAACCCAAAATTGAGTCAACTCTTGAACGCCGATCATAAAAGAAAAGAAAATATATCCTTAACCAAAATGGCGTGAATTATAATAAATACACCAACTATTAACATCAGCAACAAGGTTGAGGAAATTTTGTTTGCTTACAGAGTTAAAACCTATTGAAATTCAAATTTATTCAAAATCTTAGTAATTTTAAGATTGATTAAAAGGTAATAAGGTAAACTGTTCAAGTTCAAATTTGTGTGTTTTTTTGTATTGCGAGATTAATTTTCTGCCGATAGAATCAATAATAAGAAAAAGAGCGATAGCTTTAAAATGAAGAAGTTCTTCATTAAAGTTATTACTATTAGAATAAATTGTATAAGTTCGGTAAATAACTGTATGAAAGGCAGGTATCATTTAATTAAGGGATGAGATAAAAGGTTAAGTAGGGGTATTGAATGCCAGGACTATGCCTTTTTATTCAATGCATGTTTCAACAACAAAATAATTATTGTTTACCTTTTTAGGCGTTCTTATTACTTGTAATTGTGATATTTTTCTCATTACTATTTATAAGAACCCGTTTGCCGTTCTACTTATACCTTTCTTCGCATTCAACTTGCTTGTCTCGTACTTACTTTTGTCAGTCTGTATTTAGACAGCTAAGAAGACTCTTATTTTTTGGATCCGAAAGTATAGTATGCCCATGTTTGCACTATTATTTATTCGTTAATTCATGTTGTTCAACTTTATATATTACAAAATATACCCCAGTTTCATTAGGTAAAAACTTAAC